TGTTCATAACTTTTATGGACAGAATATCTCTGCACAGCCAAGGTGTTGAGGGGATCTGTTTTGGTGGCCTTAGGATCACTTCTCTGCTTTTTGCAGATGATCTGGTCCTATTGGCTTCAATGGTCGTGATCTACAGCTTTCGCTGGAGCTGTTCGCAGCCGAGTGTGACACGGCCGGGATGAGGATCGGTTCCTCCAAATAAGAGGCCATGGTCTTGAGCTGGGAGTGCCGTCTCTGGGTCGAGGAGGAGTTTACGTATCTCGGGGTCTTGTTCACGAATGAAAGAAAAATGGAGTGAGAGATCGATAGGCGGATAGGTGCGGCGTCTGCAGTGAAGCGGTCGTTGTACCGGTCTGTCATGGTGAAGCTTAGTCAAAAGACAAAGCTCTCAATTTATCAGTCGATCCACGTTCCTACCCTCATCTATGGTTAGGATGCCTCCTGGACGCCTCCCTCGTGAGATGTTCCAGACACGTCACACCGGGAGGAGACCCAGAGGAAGACCCAGGACACGCTGGAGGGACTGTTTCTCAGCTGTCCTGGGAACGCCTCGGGATTCCCCTGGAGGAGCTGGTCCAAGTGGCTGGGGAGAGGGAAGTCTGGGCCTCCCCCATGTAACCCGACCCCGGGTAAGCAGAAGAAAATGGATGCATGGATGGATGGATGGATGGATGGACGGATGGATGCATGCATGCATGGATGGATGGATGGATGGATGCATGCATGCATGCATGCATCCATCCATCCATCCATCCATCCATGCATCCATCCATCCATCCATCCATCCATGCATCCATCCATCCATCCATCCATCCATCCATGCATGCATGCATCCATCCATCCATCCATGCATACATGCATGCATGCATCCATCCATCCATCATCCATCCATGCATCCATCCATCCATCCATCCATCCATGCATCCATCCATCCATCTATCCATCCACGCATCCATCCATCCATCCATCCATCCATCCATCCATCCATCCATGCATGCATCCATCCGTCCATCCATCCATCCATCCATCCATCCATCCATCCATCCATGCATGCATGCATGGATGGATGGATGGATGGATGGATGCATGCATGCATGCATGCATGGATGGATGGATGCATGGATGGATGGATGGATGGATGCATGCATGCATGCATGGATGGATGGATGGATGCATGCATGGATGCATGCATGCATGCATGGATGGATGGATGGATGCATGCATGCATGGATGGATGGATGGATGGATGGATGGATGGATGGATGGATGGATGGATGGATGGATGGATGGATGGTTGGATGGAAAATGTATAGTAAAAACTATGTAAAAGTAACAAGGTACTAGATAAAAGTAGGAAAAAGGTAATAGTAGCTAAAAGCTGAAAGTAAAATAAGAACATAAAAATAAGCTGAATCAGATTTCGAACTATGATTTTGAAGGAACTCAGGAGATCTTCATGTGTTTTTATGAGGAATGTTTTTGCAAATAAAATGACATATTTAAAAAAAAGTATAAACTAAATGTCTCAGCATGAATCTCCTGAATGAGCTGAATGTTGGCTAAAATGATGACGTATTCAAACGTAGTTAGATTGAAAAACTGGAGCGTTCACACAAATAGTTTACACATCTTAATATGCCCCCCCCCCCCAGCTTTGCTTTAAGTCCTTGAACCTTCAGAAAAACATAGTCAAATAAAATCCTGAATGTACTGTTAAAAGTACAACAAATGTGGCTTTACAAAATACTGACAGAAGGGTGGGGATGAACACAACCACCAGCTTTTATAAATAAATAAAAATATTTTGTCTGCATTCAAACTCATCGTTCTTTACCCTGGAGTTTTTTTTGTAAACCTCCGTCCTATGATTAAATTAAAATTCAGTTCAAATGTCATGTAAGGCAACAAAAGATAAATAAAACTTTAGTCCTCGCACGCAGGTACCAAGATAAATAAGTAGCTGGTCAGGTCTTAAATGAGGTCAAGCCTCAGCAGAACAACAAACACAGGACATAAACAACACAACATGTATTTACCCAAAGTTAGGCCCACAGTTTGAAACTGTTCAGCAGAAACAAGTTAAAGTTTGTATTTGAATCTTCTGCATGAAGCCATTCTCTCAGGAGATCAAGGCCACTAAAACAAAATGCTGCTGCAGTTTGTTCACTTGCCAGCGTTTGTGTATATTCCCGGCGCAGCGTTTGAATCAAGCCGAGATCTTTAATTGGACGGAGCCGTTGCATCGCCTGAGTTGTTCTTTTTCTGGGGTCAGACTGATGATGACCCCACTGAACCCGAGACTCACTCTTCAGACGTTTTATGGTGCACAGAGAAGTCCAGGATTAATTCAGTGACTGCAAGGTGAAACAAGCCCAAACCATCGGCCCTCCACCACCGTGCTTGAGAGTCAGAATAAGATGTTTGTGCTGAGAAGAGTTGTTGTCCACTTGTTTTACTTTGCCTGTTTTCAAATGCAATAGTTTGAATTTCACCTGTTTTCTGTAATTGTTTTTGACAGTTTCTCTCCTTCCTGTGACGTTGTGTTAACAAACATCTGAATGCTTCGGATTAACAACCAAAACTACACAGAGGTGAGGTTCAATTATCCATCCATCATCTTTACCCGCTTCACCCCTTTCTGGGTCACAGCGGTCACTGGTACGCATGTCATTGTGAGAGAGGTGGGGACACCCTGGACAGGTCTCCAGTCCATCACAAGGACACATAGAGACAAACGAGACAAACAACCATTCACTCTCTAACTCACATCTAGAGACAATTTAGAGTCACCAATCAGTCTAATGTGCATGTTTTTGGTCTGTTGGAGGAAACCCCACATGCACAGAGAGAACATAAAAACTCAACCCAGAAAAGTCCACGAATCCTCTGGGATTTGATCCGGTGACCTTCTTGCTGTGTGGCGGCAGCTCTACTAACTGCACCACCGTGAAGCTCAGTGAACACATGAAAATAGCAACACCAGACAGCTGATTGTGGAGGAAGCAGTGAACTGTCTGCATTTTAGGCCAAAGTGTTGGGTAAAGAAATAACGAGTCAGTGCAAGTCTTTTTATTTATTTTTCCCACCATGACCACATTTTCGGTTTTGATTTTGCAACATAAGGCTTGGCTCCAGACGGGACGCTACAAGAAAAAAGCTCCAAAATTTTCAGGAAGAGCTCAGCTTGACGAACTGGTTTGTTGTTGTTCTTACAAGAATCACCGAGAAATAATAGTTTTTATAGTTCACACTCGTAAACTGAACTGAGTCGAACTGCATGCGAACAACCAAACAATCCAACAAATTAAACACACAGGGGTGCTTGTTGTTCATGCTCTGTGGCCTCTGAAGACCACACGAACATCATGTGACCCTCTCTGTGACGACCTGGAGCTATTTTAATACCATCGCCAGCAGCCTCTGATAACGATGGAGATACAGAGACGTTCGGTTCAAAGGAACTGACAGAGAAACGCCTCTGCAAGCTCAGAGAGCACGCGCTTTGCATGACATTAAGGACACGTTAGAGTTGGAGCTCTTCATCAACCCTCAACACATTCCTCCCAAAAGGCCATGATCAGTGTCTCCACCCATGTGACACTGCCCACGTAGCTCACACCAAACGGTGCGTAATACTCCAGTCCGACTGGTCTTGCTGGGCTTCGTCACCGAGCCGTCCCTGCAGGATGAAGGTGGAGAACAAACTGATTCAGCATCGCACGTCGGACAGAGAGAACGGCTTTTAATCCAGGAGCAAGGTTCTCAGAAAGTACCAAAACACATTTTCCAAGTCTGGATAAGTACTGAGAATAAAAACAGACTGTGGGAAAATAAAGACAAATACTTTTTTTCTATTCAAGACCATGTTTGTAAAATATTTAAAAAAATCAGTCTGTATTGCTTTCTGTTAGAAACATTTAGGTTTTTGACTTAGGGAGTCCACAGGAACCTTGTGATGAACTGCACAGACTGCTGGATTGATATTTTCTAAGCATGTCAATAAACTCCAGCTGGAAAAGTTCAAATTTTTATTAAGCTCCTTTAACTGTAAGACAGAGTCATGGCCTAATCATCATGACTAAACCTTTCTTGACAAAACCAAATCCCTCCTCTCTATGATAAAATGAACCATTCATGGTTGTTAAATTATATTATTTATTGATATAATACGAATCTATACGAAGCATGGCTCCTTAAAACATCAGAAAGTTCAGCGTTTAATCACGATTGTTGTCTTTATGTCCCTGCAGTGGCCAAAAATGATTTTTATCATGTATAAATGTATTGACACCCTAAATACTGCAGAATCATGTGATCAAAGTGGGGTAAAGGTTATTTTCATCTAAAAAATAACAATGATGCTCTTTTAGAGTCTGGTGACACTTCAGATGCCTTCATCTAAAAATAAATAAAAAAAACCCTAAAAAAAAAAACACCTCCCGGCTGCTAATTATATCAGCCGAACAAAGGCCGAAGGGCTCGATTACAGCGAGTTCCAGGGTCCAGTGAAAAGTCCTGATTTACTTTAAAAGTTTAATTTGAAACAGGTGGTTCAAACATGGAAAATAATGTTTCTATAATTAATAAACACACAGTTTGGTGTGAAAGTAAGCTGCAGTCAATAGAAGTGTTTAACTCACCTGACACACACACACACACACACACACACACACACACACACACACACACACACACA